GAGACGAGAAAAAAATTTTTTTTCCATAAAAAATTCTTCTTTTTCGACATTGACGGCTATAATTATGCAAATCGCATATGAAACTCACCACTTACTCCTGTATCATACATTTTTACTCAATGTCGTAACTCCATTGTCAAATTGAAATAAGTAGAATATGATAGTTTTAATACCACTTAAATTGATGAACATCGATTTCGAGAAAGAAAAAACGGCTTAAAAATCTTCGATTTTCATGTCAGAATGGCTAGGTATATATAAGTTAATGTTTCGTCGACTCTTCTTCGGAAAAACTTCTCCAAAGCCGCTGCTGCATATCTTTTAATTAATAATTGTCCATCTTCTCCAGGGATGAAGCAATGATTTTTTTGGATGGCTGGAATGGCCGTCGCACTGTTGAATCTTTGTTTTAAGCTGTCCTGGATAACTTTGTGTTCTTCTTTACTAAAAAAAAATACATCAAGATCTTTGAAGTGATCTTTCGCCCATCGAAACAGACGACTAGGTGTGAGGATAGGTTCCCCTTGAGTTATCTGCAGACTCCTTCGCCTCGCTCCCCGCTTCAAAACTGCGCCTACTCCATCACATGCCGTTTTACCATGTCCAGTCGCATGATAATGAGCTTCCGCTTCAATTCCAAAGTCATCGTTGTGGGACAAAATATTGCGATTTGGTACCGATTCTTATAATGTTGTGCAGCTTCATCGGTAACATAAATCAATTTTATCCTCAGACTTTTCTTATGTGCTCTATTAAAATCTTTTACATCACGAAAGCCGCAGTAGTATCATGGACAAGACTATCAGATAGAAGGATTAGACTTCGATGGCGAATATCACTCCCCTGACGATAATAATAGACCACTGGATGTACTGTGCAATGGTCATTATTATAATGAAATGATTGAGTTGCGTCCTGAGAAACAAAGGAATAATTCTCGGAGAAATCATACTGAACCAGAATCTCTCCTTCAACTAAATTTTCCTTTCGCTCTTTCACATAGGTTGTTTGCTCAGTGGCAATGAAATGATGAGATTTCAACGCTTTCAATCATTCACAAAGTAAATCAATGAATTCATTTGCTGGGAGTTTCTGAGTCTGCAATATTGCTCTATCCACAGTTTGCCACGTTTTGAATTCCACAGTTTCAATCATAGCGTAGTTACAAAGTAATTTTTTCAATTCAAGTGATAGCACATCAACTCCCGGACAGTTTTGGCATTCATCTAAATGGTACGCAGGCATTGGATTGGAACACATAAGCTTCGCGAGATAATCTTTGTAGTTCATAAGAGGAGAAATTGAATCTCCTATGAGAGTGGAAATATTGATGGCATCCAACATCAATTTGCAGTTTTGGTAGTACGTACAGACGCAGACAACGTGCGGACCACTCGTTATTGCCAATACATAATGTTTCGGTTTCAACTTCGCAAACTTACTAAATCCCACAGGAGATTCCGAATGAGAAGTTTCATATTGTTGATGCAGATCTGCCAAATTTTTAAGTACCAGGCTTTTCTGCATAATTTTCTTCTCGTCGTTGATTCTAACGGATACTTTATCTTTGATTTCTGGCATAATTCGACTGTTATTCTCGTAAAACGTGTGGATTTTCTCAATAGTTTCATCAGGTAATGATTTTCCTACTTTCGCGATGGCCGAAGTCAGTACACCTCTCATTTCTCTCAATTTTTTCATTCTCTGAGCCATGTGTCTCGTGGCTCCAAATTCTTCACTCACTTTCCGAGTATTCCATGACAATGGAGCGACTGTCAAAATTCGTAGACGTTCAGCGTATCCTTCCGTACTCTTAAATTTTTCTTTCAGGCTATTCAACATTTCTTCCAGCTCAACTTCTCGAGGAGAACGTGAATGTTCTACCGTTCTTCTGCTCACTTCATTGTCTGAATCTTCTTCTGCTGAGAAATCGTCGATTTCCATTGGGTCCCCAAACGCTTCGTTGAATCGATTATTATTCGGATTAACAGAATTAGAAAGAATTACCAGATCTCAATGACCTGTTTGTGATGTGATCGATAGAAATGCCTGCCACGAATCACGTAAGATTTGAAGAGTACCCGGAAGAATCATCGGAAGTAGATCCTCTGGGCCGGTTTTGGATCAAAGGGGCTTTGGTCAGACCGGCTGTGGGGGGTCCGAAGATGGGTCCCCTCGCAGGGGAGCAATAAGATTGCTCATGTTTCGTGTAATTCTCTACCGAAGCGTGTGAGAATTTCACTTCTTGGCATCGTTGAAAATCTTTGCATTTGACACCCTCGAATGAGAGAGTGCTTCTATAAGAAAAAGAATTCTGACAATTTCTTTTAAAATAACTCCGTGAATTTTACTTGCTGACGTAGCTTGATGTTTCAAAATTTGATACTTTTCACAGTGAAATTGTCGAAAGAAGCGACTGATTTTTATCATTTCCGCTGAAAATTCGTGTGAGAAAGTTTTTTCTGCTGACATTGTAGGAACTAATTTTATTTGCCGCTCTGCGAATTCAAGAATTTAAGTGCAGTTTCTGAGAATAATAATTATTTAACAAACCAATTTTGCTGACACCACAAGAATTAATTTAATTCGATTCCCTCCAATTTAGGAAATGCTAGATTGAGTAGATTTTTCTGATAAAATTTCGTATAAATAGGAAGTTTCCTGTAGATTTTAATTAGTTCTTTTAGTAAAACGGACGTGGTAAGTTCCTGATAACAAATTTATCGTAAAGGAACTTCGGTTGATCTCATTATATCTTGACCCCTTATGTTTCACCATGGTGAATTTAATCTTCAAATCCCCTTGCGGATGGCAAGACCTCCCTTCAAAATATCGAAAGATGAATGCATGGTGTACGAGAAATTTACATGGGACTCCATGGGATGGGTGTGTCATGTTTTCCGCGATGTTTCTTATGTTTTCATGAAGGGCTTAGAAAAAAAACGTTGGATTGAAGAATTGCTTAATTTTTTACTTCCTGTTATCAATTTGAAGGATCTTGGTTGTCTACCTTTACGGACTCTGGAAGCTCTGCAACCTACAGATTGTTCCAATAATCATAAACAATCACAGTCAAATAATTGTGCTTTCTAGAATGCTCGCAAGCTCCAGAAGTGGTATATAAGCGAATACGGTGAAGAACCGTCAATTAATAACTCCATTTCGTTTCCTAAAATGCGGAAACAAGATATTGAATCTCTCCCTAAGGAGTTTGTATTAAACTACGCGTGGGATAGTATTGACGCCGCATGGAATAAACTTCCGAGAGAGTATCAAAACGATGCAGATATTTGCACATTTAAACATTGTATGGGTCATCCTGAGTCTTCAAAAGATGCAGAGGCAGAGCGTGATGAATGGGAGGGTCCAACTCCTTTTAACAAAATTTGTTCCCAATGTTTAATTTAGATGCAACAGTATTTTTTTCCCTTATACTAATTGTTCAATTCATTCAACTAATTGTATGAGTAAAAAGTGAATAAATAATGTTTTTAAGATAATCATTCTCCATTTGATGAAATACTACTCCACCCCATCTCATTTTTAGAGGCTGAGAATAGTTTCATTCCCACATGAAATCTAAGATTTCTTCTTATCAACAGCTTGCCTTGGTGAGAACTAATTCTCTTTCTCGTTCGTAATTTGTCTCTTTTTCACATAGCCTATTCATTTGATATCAGCAAGAACGAGAGAGAAAATATAAGAATATAAAAGCATGTCTCGGTAAAAAAGAACGCAAAAAGTCCTCGCGATTCATCCCAGTAGTTTCAAAGTATAGCTAGACAGGTGAAGAGTGCAGTCAAAAATGTCATCAATAATACGTAGTGTTCAAGTGTCCACACAGAAAAAAAAGATTCGGATGAAATCTGGTGCGCCACCGGTATTTTACCGAGGGAGTTCTTCAGATGAGTGATCTCCGTCATTTTCCCTGCGGTGCTCGAGGAAATGTATTGTTCTTCACCGTCAATTATATGAAATTCCAACAGACTCGAATCTACGGGAAAACTCTCGAGAAAACCGGTAAAATCACTGCGGAACGCAATGAATTATTTTATGCGTCACAATAACATTATCTCGAGGCCATCGGAATAAGAAATAGGGGGGTTGGGGCCGGATTAACCGTTTTGAGGTTGAAGAAAATATGTATACTTCATAAAAAAGTTCATGAGTTCAGTCTACTCATCATAAAAAGGAATATGTGTACTTTAATTATAAAAAAAAAAGTTCTGCACGGAAGAAATATCACCTAATCAGGAATTAGAAATTACCAATTTGTCAATATTCAATATTTCCAATTCGGTAATATTTGTTATGATACAAGTGGAAAAAGGGCACTTTTTTGCACGTTTTGCGCGGAAAGAACCGCCTTTTTCTCACCAGTATCACAAGTACTTCCTGACGAGTGTGATAACAGTCTTCGCCTTCGGCTCGGCTCGTAACCCTCACACTCGTCAACAACTACTTTCTTTCACTCGTATCGTAATATACTATTAAGAATTGGTAATTCAATTCCTAAATTGGGAATACAGATCATTTCCAATATGGTAAAATTATTCCTAAAATGTAAATTTTATTCGGAATTTGGGAATATTCAATATAAGTAAATTGATGATTTTTCATCCCCAGTTCAGTATTTTTTCTCATTTCGTACATTAGCGAGGAAGTAAAGGATAATGCATCAATTTTACCTATACCTAAGTACTTGAGAAATATCTCAGAATCTAATGGGAACAACAGAATCAATAGCGAGGCGTTGAAATGGTTTGAATTGTTCCATGAACGAAAAGGAGTCTGTTCTGTTTCACTCTCTCCGACGGTTTCTTACCGTACAAAATGGTTTCGGATATAATTTTGATGCTTACTGTACGCGCAATATGAATTCCGCTATGGCACCGGTAAAGTTTGTAAACAAGTGTGTTGTGGTATTAGAGTGATGCGGTGTATTACTCGGGTGTCGTAGCCAAATATCACGAGTGAGAATTAGTCATGAATCAATTTGTGTTGAGAGCAGACGTCTGAATAGTGTAATAGGAGAATTGAAGTGGAGATGGGCGATTCAGGTAAGTTTTTCATGATTGATTGATATAATGATTTAATTTCGTTCACTATCCACCAACTCACTTACTTCCTGATAATCATTTGAATACAAATGAAATGGGGTATCATGAATACACTATGGATAACTCCAGCAATATTTCCATATAGTTGACATTATTTTCAACTCTATCCAGTATACTTTTTTAATCACACTCAAATAATTATTTCTAAGCCTGGCTTGAGAGGGGTACATTCATTCAGGTGCTCTTTGTCACGTGTCCCTTTCCTACAATTGAAAAATTGATATTTCCAAAAGAATTAGAAAATAATATGAAAATTTTGCAGACCATTGAAAGTTGAATTTTATAGCCAAAACAACAATAAATGGAAACTCTCATCTTCGTGAACAGAGCAACGTGAGGCAAAATAAAATATTTTGATTCTTCTAAACAGGGTCGGCAATGATAGCAGGAAGGAAAAAAATTTCCATTTTAAATTGAGATTTAAAGAATTTGATTGAAGACCTTTGAAAAACTAGAAGTTAAATTTTTAGAAAGACAAATGATGTAAAAAGTTATTTTTGCTGAACAATATCAATTTTGATACTGTTGACGTGAGAAAAAAAACTTCCAGAGTCGAGGATGGGAAAAATACCGATTCGGTATTTTTGTCCAAATTGGAGCAAGCAAGTCAAATAACCACTTTTTCAGGAAATAGTAAATTCTCATGTTTCGAATGATTCTGAGTGATCTAAGCAAAATTTTGTGATTTATTATTTATTAATTTTTTCATTCGGAAATTTAAAAATTGAAAGTTTAAGACAAAAAGTTGAATAAGCAACTTCTCAGGGAGTAGTGAATCCTCACGTTTCAGATGATTCTGTATCATCTGACTTTCATTTTTCGGAACAATTTTTTGACTATTTTTCCAGGAATTTGAGAATTAGAGAATAGGAACCGAAAGTTCGTCTAAAAACTCCCTCTAACAATATCAAATCTCCACGTGTGATGGAAACCATTTTTTTTAGGATCCTTACCGGGTGGATCCCTCGGCTACAGTTTAGATCACAATGTGAACGTACTTTTGCCATTCGAACCGGTGGCACCAGTCAGTGTAGGTTTCCTCTCTTTCTCTATATTTTTATCACTGTTCATGCATTTGATTGTTTGTCCCACGATAAAGAAAAATAATATCAGTGACTATTTCATTCCTGTCCAGATGGTGAATGATTCTAACTCGAGTTACATGCAGATTGATCCGAGTTATCCACCCGTATATACAAATTTAACGACACCAAATTCTTCGCAACTAGCTCCTTCGACGAGTGGACTAAGTCTCAGTTCAGCGACGTTGCCCACCCCATCCACCTTTGAGTATTCAACACAACCACCAATACAGCATCAGAATTATCCAAATAATTCGAACATCTGGAGACCACATATCACTCCATACGTGTCGACATCACACGTTTCATCGAGCTTGAGTCATCCCAACGTTTCCCCTAATTATCAGGTTCGGCTACGGAAGAACATCTATGAGGTATGACATTGAAAATTGTATGACGATTATATCAATTATGCCTTCCACACATTTACTTATTCATCCACACTCTCACATAGGTACTCACTGTGAGGCCATTGAAGGAGTGGCTCACTCGCAGTCCGGAAGGATATCTTATTCTTGACGTGTATGACGAGGACAAGCGACTACCTGACAATATTCGCAAGAAATTGGTCCAGGCAATTTTCATACGTGAATTTGAGGGGAAGAGAAATTATGTACGTATGTAGCACCTGTACGCTTGCTTTCGTTGGCGAATGAAATCGAGTGTTTTCCCTAACGAAAAAGCTTGGATTTATTATACTCCACATGTTACAACGGCGCCTGGAGACTCAGCCCCCGCTAGAGGCAAGCTGGTAACTCACAATGATACCCTCATCAAAAGCCTAGCTGACTTGAGGCAAAAAAGGAAACGCGTCGATGAGGGCGACTTGGAGGTGCCCATTACTGGAGGTAAGTCTTTTTTTTTCATTCAGATAGAAAACATTAAAAAAGAATATTCTTTCTGATTCAAGATAGGCATCACCTATCGCCTATATGTAGTCACTTTCTATGGATCCTAGTACAATATTCAAAACTAAGCGATTCTAAGATGTAAGAAGAGGAATTATTCCTCTCCAGAAAAGAAAAGATTTATTTAAGCTTAATGGTACTCAAAACGATCTCAAAAGTGATGCTATAGAAATAGAAGACATTCATTCATTTGCAAAAAATTATTGAGATAAAATGAAAGTAGTTTTTTCCTTCAATTTTACAAGTAATTTGTATAATTTTTAGTGATTTTCTCTCCAACTTTCAACATTGTCTGATGTCTTTCGATAAATAGAACAATTCCATGTCAAATCCGAAATCTGAAGAATTCGATGTCAGGGATTTTCTTACCATTTTTTCTGAAAAGGTGGACATCAGACGAGTTTAAAAAAAAAATCATTGTATTGTATTATTATCAAGAGTATTGAAAATTGAGAAAGTTATAGTAAATTACGGTGAATTCGCCAATTATTGGTATGGTTTTGTACCTTCAAAAGTTTAATTTAGTAACACGTCTTATCAAGTGGCCGACATTTAAACTAGGACATTTCAACTGCGACATTTCAACTGTTTTTTTCAACTACGACTCTTTAACTACGACTTTTCAACTACGACGTTTCAACTAGATTTTTCCATGCATAAGACGTAGTTGTATGGTTTTTCCTTTTTATGATGTATATTTTTTCCATTCTATTACAATAGTTTATTATTATGAACAGTTTTATTATTATGAATTATTTGAAAAATATAATTAACATAATGAACATTATCGCAATACATTTTATAAATTTATGGTTTTTCATTTTAATTGTATCATTTTTTTTTATCTTATCACAGAAAGTAACATGATGAACTTGATCTCTATGCAACTTGGAATTTCAATAAATAATTGATAAATAATAACGAAATAGCTTATAAGTAGAACAGTAAGTGGGCAAAAATACACGAATAAATGCAATAAATAATCGCTGTACAATGACGCGTAACTAATGAGAATTTATAATTTGATGCATTGGGCCATTCCCCTCAGATAATCCTCAAAATTATCCAGTGCATTCTCGCGATTAACAATCGTCCTAAGTCTCGCATTTGTGCGGTATCATCGTTATTTACGTATTCCGAATGTTTTTGAGAAATATTAGATATATTGAAATTTTCATTGGATAGCTGTATGTTACAAAGTAGTTGTCAAAAATTGAAAAAAAAAACATTTAATATTTGCAAAACTTCAAATATATTAATTCACTTTTTTTCTAAAATCGGAAAACTTGGAATTTTGGAGTTTATGTTTCGCATAAAATTCCAGTTGAAATGTCCTAGTTAAAGGAGTGTTAGTTGATAATTTTGTTAGTTGAAATGTGGCTAGTTGAAATGTCTTAGTTGAAATGTCGCCAGTTGATAAGACATGGATCCTTTAATTTGGTTGACACTTCTCATATGGTTTTCTTATCATTCAAAGGACCTAAAAAAATTTTGTTTTTATTTTTCTCCAGTGTCGTTACACTCAAAAGATGTCTTTTATTTCAATTAATTCATTTAACAAATCTATTATCAGCTAAGTCGATAGCTGGCCTTCTAAGGGTGAGAAAACTACAAAAAAATGGGGCGACCTTCCCTAGGCCACCCGCAAGTTTTGTCATCCCCCAGACATAAAAAACAGAGTGCGTGAAGTCCACGCGCGACAGAAGTGAAACTTCTTTTTAGTATTCTCAAATTTTTTTGTCCAATTTGTTTTTCCTGAAAATTTTTTTTTCGCTTCTCATGCTTGAGAAAGCATTATTATTATGATTATATATAGAAATTCGATGGGATACTAGGAAATTAATAACAAGAAAATTTGAATGACTTTTTTCATTTTTTACCATTCACCAGATAAAAACTTTCAATTTTCAAGTTCAGATTTTTAATTGCAATTTTTAATTTCAATTTTAAATTTGAATTCCAAATTTCAATTTTATATTAAAAGTTTTAATTCGAAATTTCAATTGAAGTTTTCAATTTTTAATTTTCATTCAAAATTTCAATCTCAAATTTCAATTTCCAATTCAGAATTCCAATTTCAGAATGGAAATTCAAATTTCAGGATTTTCAAAATCCAAATTTTTAATTTTGGAATTGAAGCAAATAAAAAATTTCAATTTCAGATTTTCAAGTGCAATTTTTAATCTCAATTTTGATTTTCTACTTCAAATTTCAGATTAAGAATTCCAATTGAAAATTTGAATTTCAAATTTAAATTTTAAATTAAAAGTTCCAATTTAAAATTCCAATCCAAATTTTCAATTATCAAT